ACGCAAAGTGCGGGGCGGAAATGTGGAAAAACAGGGGAGGGTGGCAGCCGAGGGAAATTGGGGCAAAAGTGCAGCAGTGGCAACCGAAGCTGACCATGGGGGGATTATCATGGGAGCCGGGCTAAATGTCATTAGAGCCAGACTAATTGAATGGGCGATAATAAAAAATAAAAGGGGGTTGGGAGTCGGAAGGGAATGCCAGATAGTAATACCGAATAGTGAAAGTCACTGTTGGGGTCATAAATTTGCAGGAATTTAGCCTAATATGCAATTTAAATAACCATACAAATTGCTTTGCATCGAGTATGAATATTTGAAGCAAGCGGAGGCAAATTTTAACTGACTTTTCAGCTGGAAACGGAAATTTCCCCAAACATCCGACTGAAATATTTAATTTCCTACTCAACGATGCAGTCTGAGCTCCAGGCTGCCACTGATGTCATTTCTATATACGTGAGCAGACATTCTGGGGGCTGGTAAAATACTGAAGGAAATGCTTAAGTGGGAGGTGTATATAAACCCAGCCAGACATCAGACATGGTGGGAAAAGTCAGGGAGTCCCAGTCAGGTAGCAGTAACATAACGTAACATAAATAGAAAACAGCCACAAAGGCTTGACAACGCGACAAAGTTCTGTTTCTGTTTCAGCCGCCCCCACCTTCTTATGACATCCACCTCCTCATAACACCCACCTACACATTTCAGCAACCCCAGGGACATATCAGGTACATCCTGCGACACTCCAAGCAACCCCCGCAGTTGCATATGCGACAGAAATTATGAATGAAAGGAGGGAAAAGCAGAATGGCAAGAAAAACATGAGGGAAGAGAAAAATAAAAACAAAACAAATTCTTTAACTAACTGAGACTTTAACTAACATGAAATGCGCTAAAATGTACATAGATTTTTCAAATGTGTTTTATATTTTCAAGAATCATATAAAACATTCAAGGTTGCGTAGGATCTTAACTAAATTTATTACCAGAGCAGGCCAATTTGTGTTTGCTGAAGGTATTACTTCATTGTAAATTCCGAGTTGTGTCCGTCCAAGAGAGATTGCTGTCCGTTCTATAGATTCTACACATTCACACAAAACTTGCTTTGTATTTCATTTTTAATGAGTACAATTTGTGCTTTAAAACTCAGTCTCTCATTAGCATCAGTAGCAGCTACTACTTTTTGTCCCAACTTGAGAGCCACAGCAAAGTTTGTCACAAAGTTATAATGCTCTCATTAGGCTCGAGGAATATGCAAGGACATAGCCGGGTACCGGGATACAGTTGGTTCTTTGGGGGTGGACTGCGGCATTCTCTCCGGCATTCTTCCGCTCTTCTTTCCTCAACTTCAAATGCAGCAGCACACAGCGCAGCAGAACAATGCAGCTCAGTTTTAAAAGATTAAAAAATGTTCTGTGGACACCAGGAACTTCAGTATGAACGGCAGAAGGAGCAGGACTTTGGCACAGGATGCAGTCTGGGGGCATGAAACTTTTTAGCACTTTTATTGCTGCTGCCACTACAGCAAACTGTCTGAAACAGACAACAACGCCACACTTTGCCATCAGACGGGAGACAGCACAAATTGTCAGGTTGTTGACGAGTCGCTGGCTGATGTTGCTACCTTTGCTAATGTTGCTGCAGTTGCAAGTTCCCATTGCATCGCCATCGCCATCGCCATCGCCGTTGCAGCTGTAGCTGCAGTTGCAGTTGCAGTTTGCTGTCTGAATGCAGACATAAACAACAATTTAGAGGAATACAATAAACAGCCATTCTAGCGGGGAACGCAACTTGCCACTCCTGGCCTGGTCATAAAGCAGGTCTCTGACTCTATATCTTCACCGAAGACAGGGGGAGAAATACATCAAAGATACGTTTACCTGTGGCAAGCACTGGGAAAAAAATTCTAAAAATATGAACGATGAAAAATACAGGAAAAGTAAACATTCTTTGTTTTGATTTCCAAATGCCGTGCACACAATTGATCGTTCTAAAGAAACACAGAGCGATTTCATAGTTTTAGGAATTGATGGAAAGAAAATACATTACTTGAAGTGATCTTGGCCTGTTAACTTCTTGAGCGGTGAATCTCTAGCGCTGCACTTGAACAAAATTAAACTACTCATTTAAGTTGTGATTACCCGTCGCGCTGCCTCAAGTGGTCGCGAGCAAAGTGTGCTTATCAACACCAGAAAATGCAGAAAATGTGGGCGTTAAACAACCAGGGCTACCCGGGGGGAAAGTGGGTGGTGCAAGTTTAAACAAATATTTTATAGAGCACACATGATGGTGGCACTGGAACTGGCACCCAGCACCCAGCAACATGCAACCAAAAGCATCCGGAGCTTCCTCTTCAGGTGAAGCAGCAGCTGTGGGTTAATGCCGGCATTAGTGCTGCTGGTGTGGAGTGCGATGGTCTCCGTGGCTGGGAGGGCTTGACATAGTTTCAAGCGGGCGCTTAACGCTGAGTTATCTAAAATACAAACACACGCACCGGTAGTATGGCACAGGTATAAACAAACACTCACGTTCACAGGTGAAGTTGATTTATGCAACAGCTTGCCAAGGCAACTGATTTTGCACTGATAAAAACCTAGAACTGAAATGCGAATAGAACAACTAAGAGGTGCTGCGTCTTACTTTATAACCTCAATATTCAAAATGCATAATTGCAAAAAAAAACGCGTAAGTTTAGGTTAAAGTTCGGCTTGACATTTGACGTTTTTAAGCCATGTATTTACAATGACATTATTGTCTTGACCTCAAAAGCTAAAAGAAGTTTTCAGGCAAGTTCCGGTTAAAGTTAATGTTGGCTCTTGAGTACAAACACACCGATTTGACCTAAAAAAAATCTCCCAGTGCTCGGGACACACTTGCTGAGCATCATAATTTGTAAACTTAAGGCCTTTACACCTATTAAAATAAATGAGTATCAGGGTGCTGCACATGTGTTCGTTTGTTTGTGCCACTCAAAAAACTGGCAGGGCGAAATTGCATTTCATCCCACAACTGGACCAAAATGGGATGAGGATACACCGCCGCTCCTCTGGTCCGTTGCAAATTCATGAAATTTTCATCATCGTTTCATGCTGCAGTTGCAGCGTTTGCACTTATGTGCAACTATTTTATGCATGAAACCAAATAACTATCCGCCATGCACCCCAAAGTCACCGGAGGGTCAGTTCCATAACTTCATTAATGGCCAAAGAGGCAAAAGGGCTGGCCTCAACCATCGGCAAACGTGGCAAGCAATCGCAAGTTGCAACAGCGAAGTACACAAATATAATCCGCATAATTTCGTGAAGGAACGAGGCGAGAAGGCAGCCGCTTAACCTTCTCGCCTTACCCGCCTGCCACATGCGTTCCCGTCTAATTAGTCATGAAATCGGAGACCCGAGACGTGCCGAGGGTTTGTCTACGCGGCATTGAAGGGCTGCCCCAGTCCCCTTGGCCCCCACAAATCGTACACCCAACCGCCCGCCAGATGCGCTTGGCTACTTGCGGCGTGTGTCGTTCATGCATCTACCGCCACACAGCGGCGGTCACAAAAATAGAGGGTCATTAAAACCGAAAATGAGCATTAATATCAGTTGGTAATACATAATACATATTTTCACATGTTCACATGTTCACTTGGCCAACTTTAATGCATTTATACCACGTCATTTGTTAACATGATATTTGTTGCTAATGTTGATTACAGTTGACTTTTAGACGACCCCGTGCATGTGGTATGCTATTCTATTGACCTCAACTGTTTGTAACTCCTGCTGCTTCGCCCAGCATGTGGCCCAGGTGATTCGAACACATATTAACAAGGCACAACAAAAGATCCAAGGAATGCATCGTTGGAAACCCAAATGAAGTGAGGCAGGGGGACTGGCAATGCATCGATGACTTTCCCCTTTGCGGGACCTCATCACAAAAAGCTAAAGCCGGACCCGACAGCTGCATTGCGTGTGGCACAGCCAACATGGTAATTCAATTGATACATCGAAATCCGGCAGCGGAATAGAAAATCTGTTTTCTAGCGATTAGAAGACAGACCCGACGAAAAACAGACCTCGTTAAAGATGAACACTGAGGTGGAAGTAAACTTCTGTTTGGAAAATGGATGGGACAAAGATTCAAGATTTTCCTGTTCTCTAAATTGCAAATAAAAGCCGCAGAATGTTTGAGAAACCCCTTAAGCGAACTTTATTCAACTTTATTTCTTCTGTGGTCCTTAATGTACATTCCCGAGGCTATGAACTTTTAAAATATAGCTTTAGTGATTTATTTTTACGATCCTCCATCAGCCTCGAACCGAAATCGTTTCTTAAGATTGGTCAATTAGCCGCCAATGTGTGGATATGCATAGAACTTTATAACTAGTAACGAACATGTCAAAGATATAATAACGGATTTTATGCGGTCATAAAGAGTATACTTGCTGGAAAAACCTTGGTATTAGGCCTATGCATCTCGTTCTCTGGTTTTTTATTTGCGCTTAAACAACTATCAGAAAACCAGACCTAACTCAACCCAAGTGATTTACGTATGCGAGGCGGGGTTTGGCGGTGGCAGGCGGTTGGGCAAGTGCCGAAAAACTCGTTTCGGAGTCCACTTCAAGAACTGGAGCAAGCTGCTCGAGTATCCACCATCCACTGTTATATTCCAGCATCTCTAGCTCCATCAGGTTTTTGCTCTTTTTCTATTTTTGAATTGAGCACACAGCTGGCTCGAAAAAAAAAGGAAAATACATACTGTGGGCCAAAAAAAAAAAAAGGAACGAATATTTCGCGTTTTATCTGAGCGTTAGGGGCAGAATAGGGGAAGTTGGGCCATAGAATAGTCCGATAGACAGATGAATGCAAAGATAAAGCTGCCCCCACGAATTCCCGCTGCCAAAGTGGAACAAGTTCAAAATCGCCCGCGGCCATGTGACAAAAACTTGGCAGTCTCAAAAGAGAAAACCCTTCCCCAAAAAAAATTCTTCAAAAAGTATCTCGTGTTCTGCTCACCTTTGGTTCGGTCAAAGTTGGTTATCGCAACCTGTAATGAAAGAGAGATACGGATTTAGTCAATTATCGTGAGAAGTGGGCACTGTACATGTGCATATAACACATTTGTACAGATATTTCTGTATATATTCCCATGTGCAAGTAAATAGATTTACTACTATCCCTCATCCATGCACATTTTCACATCCGCATGGCGGCTTATCAGCTGCTGCTGTCTGACTCGGTTTTTTTTACTCCGACTGACAGACTGCTTTCGGAGCAAACAGAAAATACAAATAAAGGAGGAATAAATGTAATAATAAACCAGTAGACATATAAATATCAACTGAAGTATACCCAGTAAAATACAAATAATTTTTATGATTAATAGGATGTTGAAGCAGCAACTGCAAAGCAATAAGAACATTCACGGAATAGTAGAAAAATTGTGCTGTGTTTTGTAATTATGCACATCTTTACAACACCATAAATCCCCCGAAAATGTATAAGTAAAGGGTATCAAAAGAACGCAACACTGACAAATGCTGACGACGACGCGGCGCAAATATTGATTTTCATGTTTGTATGTATAAGAGTATTCGTTCGTATTTATAAACCCGTAGAAACTTCATTTTTATATGCATCAGCCGAATATGCGTAAACACAAAAGAAGCAAAGCAAAACAAGCCAAAACAAAAGAGGGCCCAGACCCTGAGCTTTTTGGCTGGTTCGACGGGGCTTAAAATATATTTCAAACACGTTGAAGCAATTGCCAAGAAAAGGCGCTAAAACGAAGCGAAAAAGTCTAGGAAATTTGTTCTGCATTTTATGATACGAGAGGGAAGGCCAAAGGCAGTAGAGTAACGCCCCCCCTTTTTTTCGAGCAATCACATTTGCAGGACGAACACCCCTACGAATTTCTAGGATTTTCTTTTATCAGGCTCGCCTCGTTTTTATTCTGTTCTTTGCTGAAATGCTAAAATGGTGAAATGCTCACGTGACCTGCTTGCCAAAGTCAACGCAAAAACGAAACGTCTCAGGATGTGTGGATTGCGCCTCGAGCCATTTTCTAAGGATATTTTCAGCACGAGGGGCGCCTGACCCTATAAGGCAACTCGGGTCGTTAGAGGAGCAGATGTATCACTTTCGGTTTCCGTCAGTCAGCTGGGTTTCCACTCTCGACTTGGTCTTTACCAGCTGTTCCTCGTTTTCTCTGTATCTCTTGCTTCGTTTTGAGAAGTGTACGCCCCACAAAATAAAAAGCGTTCAAGCAGCGAGGGTCGTGCACACACTTCTCGTGTTTATTTTAGATCGGGTACTTGAAGATAGCGAGGCACAAAATTTGAACAAACAGCAGGGAGTAAAAGAGGAGAAATGATGGACAGCGATTTTATTGGATTTTTCTAGGCCAATGACTTTTAGCACATCTCGAAATATCAAAGTGTACACACACACTAAGATAATGCATCATTAAACATAACCAAAATCTATAAAACGAACTTACATTAAAATGCAGAACTTAAAACCCATCCCGATATCTGTGATGGACAGGCATCTTTAAATAGATTTATCAGTTTCAGCCCAAACATTCCTGACTGCATCGTTTCACAATAAGCCCGCAAATGAAATCAAAACAAAACTCAAGTGCTGACCAGATAAGAGAGTCTCGAGAGAGTTTTTATATGGCGGCAAAAAGAAAACTAGTAAATAGTAAAAGCGTTGCTTATACACTAGATAGGGTTACTTCTTTAGAGCGAACAGTGAGTTCCAATGGAATTCAATCGGAAATCAAGCCAAATATATGTGCACTGTTGTCATTTATCACGAGGATAAGTACACACGGCGAATAACTTCATGACGGTATTTAATTACGGACAAAATAAATTCTGGGAACACAAGGCAATTCGTCATGAATTTGACGTCAAAGTAAATATACTTACGTCAAAGCATGGCAAGCTTGAAACCCCAGTGGAATTTCATGAAACCAACTCCAAATAATAATATCTTTTGATTAGGCAGTTGCACCATAGTAAGTAATTAATCTTGAAGTACTTTTTCTGTTGTAAGTTCCCTACATTTTGGCTGTAGACGTACCCCACCCACAAAAGCACCGAATTCAATCCCCATAAACAACGAAAGCAACATGTTTTGGCCTAGCTAAAAATGCAATTTATGTGGCACGGTGGCAAAAAGCGGCGGCAGCAGCTCTCGAACATGCAATATGGACATGTGAACAATTTTCCGGCAGCACAGCTGCCTTGTGCATTTGATGCAAATGTGGGAAAATATTTTCTAAAAGACCACACGAAAGAATTAGGTATTTGAAAATTATCCTCGCAGCGAAAATAAATAGCAATTTACGAAAAACATTCAAGAAATGCCAGCAACGAAAGCCCAAATGGAATACTAAAGTTTGTTAGACGATAAAACGAACTATTTGAGATATCAATGTTTGTTTGTCTATTTGAAATGTTTGCTTGCTTAGCAAACATGGTAGATAGAAAGCAAATTTGAGCTTTTATTGCACCCCCGTGTGTCAATTGAGGGGGAAATCCAATGGCCCTTGGTCAAAATCCACTTTAACCCCGGCTCGTGACAACCCCATTTATTGATTTAAAGAATCTATGTCAAATTGATTACAGCTGCGTCACGTAGCCCAGTAAAAAAAAAAAAACACAAAAACAGCAAACTGCAATAATAATCAGCAAAGTGCATTGCATTGAAGAAGCGTTCTGGGCTTCCATTCATTTAATTCCAGTTCACTTGCGTTCAGTTTCAGGTTTGGATTCTGCTTTTTCTATTGAAGCTGAAAAAACACCAACTTTTGCAGCTTTTTTGCGACAAGTGCAGCCCACTCTAGACACAATTCCAACTGCAATGCACTTGAGACAAAAGCTGCGGCGCAATGCAGCAGGAAAATGGGGGGAAAATCCCCGAGATGGGGTGCATTGAAAACTCAGCCCACCCTCCACCCCCGAATTGAAAATGAGAACGAGATTTCGCTATCGGCACAATCGCAGCGTGACATTTTGTCAGTCGTTTGGACAGTCATTCAATTGAGGCAGTTGCTAGGAAATAACTCGAGTCAAGCTAAAAAGTGGAGACAAATTACTACTTCATCAGTGGAAGTACGGCACAAATAGTCTGTTCTAGATTCCTGCTGTTGCAATGGCAATAAAAAAATGTCTCATGATTAAGTATCTCAGCATTGAACTCTTGAACAATTAGAAAAAAGACGCATTTGGCTGATTCTAAGAAAAATGAGATTAATGTCGATACTGCATAAAAACATAGATACCTTACAGAAGCTGTAAAAACAAAAAGTATATATATATATTTTAATTTCCTTTTAGCTCGCTTTGCTTTGCTTATTTCTTAGTCTGAGAATGCAATTTGTTTTTATACACCCTCTAATGTACAATTTAGTTTGTTAGCATCAAACTATTGTCATAAAAAAAATAGTTGAGCTCAGCAATTTGCTGCGAAAAGCTGAAAACTCCGAAGTATTTTAGTCTATCAAAACTTTGTCATGGGAACTATCAAAGCAAAACAAATCCGTTTCTTTTGTTTGGCGTTTAGCATTTTTTTTCTATCACTAACGCTTTGTGTGGCGCTCTCATGCCAGCTGAAGTCAGCATGAAATATGCTATGAAAATTTGTAGTTGTCTGGAAAAGGAGCACTTACTCCCCATCCACAAAATCCCCCCTCTCCCCTGAAAGCTTAAGACCCGTCAGACTTAAACTATGTTCATGTCGCGCTTGTTTGCCTGATGAGGCTACAACGAATTTATCACGTACTTGTCACAAGGAATTCACGTGTTGGAACAAATACCCGAATAAGAAAACTCGAATAAGCTGAGAACTTTATGAATGGCTGAGCAGAATTCAGTTCAGGCGCTATAATAACAAATATATTCGCCAGCTAAAGGAAATATATTTGGCCGAGTATTTTAGCACAATGAAGTAAACTTTGTATAATTATCTTGAAAACTGACTTTAAAAGTGTTTATCTGGAGGATTACACACCTTCTGTGGGTTCCCTAAGATTAATAATTACGCCCATAATTACAACTGGTATCTTTCTCATCTTGTGGTTCTGTAAAGCCGCTTTTATGACCCTGTTTTGCAAAACTATGTTTCTAAAGATTTCTGGCAGATGTGACTAATTACAAACATTGTTCCATCCAACTATTCCCCACATGCAGCATCTCCAAAGTCAAAGGAACTTCCTGCCCTCAAAGTAGCTGGCTAATGTCTTATGAGCCCAAGTAAAAATCTCCAGCACTTCATGAGGAAAATGAAGAGCTGCTAGGCACAAGCTCAAATGTGAGTTAGGGGTTGTTCCAACCCCTTCCACGTTTGAAGTTAAACTTTTTAATTTCATTTGAGGATTTTGAGTGAGGAATCCCTGTGTGTAAGCGTGTGCAAAGAGTTTGTCTAAGACCTCACAGCAATGTGAAGTTGTCAAGTTTCGGTGCGTTTGGGGAATTACCTACCAGAGCAGGGGGTGAAGGGTTAGGATAGTGGGAAACAGGGTTGGATAAGGGGTTGCTGGAATCTCGAGCATTTGCTTTATTCGCTGTCATTCTGGAAATGCCTTTGCATCGAATTTACACAGCTTCCTCACTCCGCTTTACTGAGTGCACTGGGAAAAATATGTTTCTTTATATGCCTACTATAAAGGAATTCCCGAAAATCGTTTATCAAGTTAACCTGAGTCAGCTTACTAAGTCAACAAGAAGTACAAAATTGTACGAGTTAGTCAAGATACTCATTCGCAACTTCTTGAAAGTAAGCCTTTCTTAAATAGATGCAATCTTCATCAATCTACATATATTCTCGCAAATTCAATTTAGGTAATATGTTCTTATATCAGTGCACTTTCGTGCGCTTCGGGGGGCATTTGTAACTCCCAAGACAGTTATTGCGGCTAGAGCTCCGCCTGTGCTCCACTTTCGTGTTTATATTTATCTGGCTGGTGGCCCGGAGCTCCTTCCTGCCGCCAAACCATTCACATCCTGGCTCCTGGCTCCTGCTCCTTGGCTGGCTGGCAAATTCACACCTTGTACTTGCTGAGGCGGGTTCAATGCACCGAAATTTCATTTGAATATTAGCCCCAGCAGATAGACAGAGATTGCATTTGGAATCGATTTGCCATTTCGTTGGCCTGTCACTGGCAATAACCAAAGTTCCCAGGACCTTTGGCCCGTCCGAGAAAATATTTACAAAACTTTGTGCCAAAAAATCCAATAAACTCGTATGCGCAACAGTCTCATTTTTCCCAATTTATTGACTATCTCTCTGCAATTTCTCTTTGAAGGGATTAGCCAAGTTTGGGCCGCACACATTAAACGTTCAACTTCAACTCGATTTTCTCAGCTTTTTTTACGTTCCCGGTTGGAAACCGAGAGTTGAGCTCAGTTTTATTAGTTTTTACCACGCTTTCGGTATTTATTTGCCAGAAGTAACAGGGAGAGAGTGGGGGAAATGGCAGCTCATGGAGACAGGACTTTTCGCCTCATAAACTTTTATTGTCCTGATCCTCGTAATTAAAAAGTTTTTACTAAGTCGCAAAGCAGAGCTCTTATTTTAGTGTCATCCCATAAGTTTGGATGAGTTGCTTGGGCCTTCGAATTGGGTCGAGTTTCAGTTGCAGCTGCAGTTTCTTATACGTGAGTGGCACTCATTAAAAGTGCTCCACTGACCGAGTGGATTAATTCAGCCGTAAGTGACTTATATAAGAAGTCTTTAAAGTGTCCTGTAAACCCTTTTTCCCTTCTGGAAAAAGAAGATGTGTTTGTGATTGTATTGAACTTTTGACCTCGTGTTCAATACAATAATGGATGCCGAATGCCAGCCGAATTAGTTGGTTTATGGCTGCAGAAGAGCGCCATCAAAAACGGAATAAATACGTAGAGAAATTTATTTCTCGGTCGGATGCATCGACAAAGGAATATTCGGTCGGTGGCAAAAGTAAAAACTCAATTTATGAAGCACTGAAATACCGAAATCTCCCCTTTGGCTGCCGCTGAAGCGAAGTCAATGAAAAATGCGATTGGAATGCCAGAAATGTTTGGCTTCACCTGGTCAGCTGTGTAGCCAAATTGTTCGGCTCCGTTTGTGCGCCTGTGCGTTTTTGTTGCACGGCTGTGTTCCATGGTTTATGTGCTCTAATTGGAGTAACAGGGCCGAAAACTTTCTGCCACTGAATGCCTGCGCCGCCCATGAAAGCAGCTTTATGAAAATCGATAAAATCGAAAACTAGCCAACACAACAGGGCAACAGAAGCTGAAATAGGAAGAGCAACAACCACCAAAGCTCACACAATCGAACCCATGGACAAGAAGTAAGTACGATTCAGTTCGGGTGTCGAAGCTTGAATACCCTTTCTATCTTGGAGGTTATAGAGCTAGTACATAGACTTGGATTAATGGGATCTGGTGTGTTTGCTAACAAATCTGAAAACTATTTGGCAGGCTTGAGATAAGGGTAGTATATACTCTACACTCTAGGGTATATATATCATTCATTTAAATCTGTAAATATTTTAGTATGTCCTTAAGTATTCTGCTATAATCATCATACCCCTTCATAAGGCAAAAAAAAGTCCGGAAATGTGTGCGGCGGTACGTGGTTCTGGGCTTGGGCCAGGAGCACGCGTCATCATCGCGGCCGCTCAATGGCAAGGCAAACAGGACGTTGGGTGGTGGTGGGCGGAAGGTGAGTGGAGTACGGGGCACCAGGAGGAACCGGGGGGTAAGAAAGGGAAGGCCGGAACAAAGCTCGCCGAGTGCGAGAGCGAAAAAACCACCACCGATGCAAAAGTCGGCGGCGGTTTATGGGATGAAACAATGTTTTGTTGCCCACCGGATGTTCGCGGAAGGTAGGCGGTGAAGTGGGGAGTGTGTTGTGTGTGTGTGGTGGGTGGAAGTTGGCTCACACAGGGGCTGCCTGCAGACAGATAGGGAGAGATATATGGGCAGAGAGGGGGAGGGAGAGAGATGGAGGAGCTCAACAGGACACAACAATGCAAATGTTTGCAGTGTCCACAGAGAAAATATTGCACGAAGCTCCCTTTAATTTGTGCTAATTATACTCCGATTCTGTACAATTTTATTTCACTGATCACTTGAAAAAATGTTATGTACCCAACGCCATTTCTTAATTTGAATTTTTTCAATTGAAACAAATTTCCCACTTCTCTAAAGACATAACAAGATTAAGCTGATAATTAAAATCGGAGGAAATTCTAAAAAATAAGCCTAAACATTTTTTGTAGTGCTCACACATATCCCATCGTTTCAGGTTCCATCGGAGACTGGGTGTGTGTTTCCGAGTGGATCCTCATCCTCATCCACATGGACTCGATTTTCACGTTGATTCGCCCCTCTGCGAGCATGCGAGTGTTTTATAGCCAACGACCTGTGCTAATCCCATAAATCTAATTGGCCCGGACCTCGCTCCACTCCTGGCCAGCTTTTGGGTTAGGCGGTCACACACACGGGCCGAAATGGCAAACAGCAAGCCAAACAAAAAAGGGGGCGGGGGGAGGGAGCAACATCCTCTGCCATGTCCATGTCCATGTCCATTTCCATGTCCAGTTCCCGTTCCCGTTCGAAATACGCTCTTCGCCCGGTGGAAATTGCCCCTGCAGCATTCACCATTAAATGTGACTGCAAACTTTTCTTTCGCAGGCAAAAACTTGGCGACATAAATTAGAACTTTAGCTGGGAGCAGCTTCCCCAACGCGATCCCCACCTGCATTTATCCCCCTCAGGTGACTGAGCTCCAATAAAGTGGCGCTCGCTGAATAAAAACAATTGCGAAATGCAATGTTGTGCCTGCAGCGACAACAACTTTATTTTTAGATGCACTTAGTCCTGGCTGACTTGTCACCTGAATGAGGAAAAAAAAAAGGTAGGCAACAGCTATGCTGAAAAATATTTCTCAGGAGAATCGAAGATAACAGATAATTTCCCTATATATTATTAGAACATTATCTATTGGATCACGTTAAATGATCCATTAGATGAGTACTGTTCACTTTTAGGAGTTGATTTTATGTTTGGAACCAGTTAGGGACAAGAAGGCTCTCAATACTCTTAAATTCTGTCGTTAGCAAACAGCAGATATAACCATACTGCCGCTTGTAAGGGCAGTCAGAAAGGAAAAGTTTAAATTGGCATAAAAACTTTTGAACTTTTGCAAAAAAGGGACAGAGCAGGGGTCCACAATGAGCGTAAGTTGGGTCAACGGGAGCCCATTAAATAGATTGATGACCAGGCCAACCGACTTGGGAACTATGTCAATTGAGACAGGAAACTGACGGAAGGAAGGTTACAAGTTGCAGCTCAGCAGGCGAGGAACATAGAATCAACTAGTCACCAAAGCAGATCAAAGGTTTCCATACGAAAATATGTCGATTTTGAAGTTGCCTCAATATTATCTATTGCTTCCCCGTAAGATCAAGAAGATATTGCTCTATCGGTTCCTATTTGCCACATTACTCTGCTCATGGCTGGATTACCAGATGCTGACGATCTTCGTATCCATCAATTTGTTTGAGGTGAGGCGTCCACTGGTTTCCCTCACCGAAATCCTGCGATGGACTCTGTTTTCGGTGTATTCCTCGGTAGCAATGTTGCTCATACGATTGAGCATGATGGGGTTTGGCTTGGTATTATGCCACACACATTATGTCTATCCCCGATGCTATGGATATAATTTGTTGAGACTAACTTACGAGTTTCCTAAAAGGTTTTGCCTAATTTCATCGATACTCTCTATAACCATTGCGACAAGCTGGCTTTATGCATCCTTTGTGGACTTGAACAATAGGAATCAGTTGCTGGGAGGGTCCTGGTATTACCTCATGACCTTTGGCTGCTTTTGTGGGATTGCCTATTACCATAAGTGTCATAAAATATGTCTTCGCAGATTCCCCTTGCCCATTGTGCATTTGGATATGAAGGAGTGTCTGCTTCAAAGCTGGTGTCACCAATTAAAGAGTTCTGCTAAAACGGCTCTCGTTCCAACGTTATTGTTTGCCCTGATCTACTGGCCAACCATGGGTTTCCTGGAAACTAGCGAATTAGGCGGAGTGAGCACTGGATGTTTTGTTATTATAACGCAACCACAACGACTTTTCCAAGCTTGGTTGCTAGCCACCTTGATCCTGGCCAAATTGCATATAATTCGGGAACTTTATGGCCTGATTATGCAGCGCAAACTAACAATGATTTGTGATTTAAGAGAACTGCACGAGCATATAGATATCAATCTATTCAATCTGATATGGGAGCGCTTTCAATACTTTTTCTACATGATGCAAATGAAACCGATGCCCATGGATGTGCAACGCTATAACCTTTCATTGCCAATTGCCATGGCTCTGGACACTACGGAAATCTATGGCTTTCAATTGCTGGCAGCCCGTGATTTTTATGCCGCCATGTCGGGCAGCTTGTGCAATGAATTGTTCAAAAAACGGTTTTGCCAAAGAAATCGACATTGGGCTGAGTTACGGGACGTTGTATTGGGAATGCTAGATCAATTTCTGACCAGGATCGAGTCCTGTTTGGAGCCGACTCCGCGCATTAAGGTCTGCCATTTGCTGAAAAACAAGAATCCCAACGAGCCACGAATTCGTTCTTTGGTGAAAAAAACTCCTGCACCACGACGCCTTTGTGCTATATGTCGAGGTTCTCCAAGTTGTCAGGCACCCAAACATATTTTGTGTTTCTGTAATCTAAGCAAATACCTCCATGATAGGATCCATAGCACCTGGAATGGCTTATGGCTTCGATTGGCAGTTGCTCCGCAGTACTATAGCTTTTTGTACGAAGCAGATCAGCTGGCCAAGCTGAATCATGAGCTGCGGTGTGGGGAACCACTAGTTTGGATCCTTCAAGGACTCGTCAGCATTTGCGTAAGATTCCCGAATGAAGACAAATTCAGATACCCTCCGTGCGATCTGGAACGCATTCTGGTGTATTTGTTGAGGGTGGAGGAAAAGCTGATCGCGGCTAAGGAGATGCAGGTGCGAGGAAAACTATGCTCTAGCCATGATCATTTAATGATGGCCATAAACCGCTGTTTATACAAAATGCTGTTTACCTTTGGCCCACATTTGGATTGCATTTTCGACGATGTAAATTTGAGGGCTACATTTAAAAGGAGAATGGAGTTGATACCCTAAGCTTGTTTACATTTTGCGTTTTTGAATTGCTTTGTTTTGCTTATATTTTTGAATATATGAGAATTTAATCAAAAATAGTTTTCTGGCAATAAAAGGGAAAATCCACTTTAAATTCTCTCTCTCTCTCCACTCAAGAAATCATCTCTACATTAATTCCTTTTTGTCGCACTTGCCACGCACTTTCCACTTTTCCTCGCCTTCTCCGCACCTCTTTCCACTATTCTCTCCCCTCGTCTCTTCTGCGCTTCAGTTCTTATCAATAAAACGCTGCTGCTGTGTGCATTGTTTGCTGGCTAAGTGGCCAAACACGCACACACACGCACAACTGGCAGGGAAAGGAACAAAGGAGGAGTTAAAAGAGAGCGGTGAACAATTGAGTTTTCTACTTGTTCCGCTTCTTCAGTCTCCACTTTTGTTGCTTTGACTACTTTTATTCGTTTGGATTCTCCTTATTGCACCTCCCACGCTGTTTTATCCCCTCCACTTACCCCCACCCCTTCCCCCTTTACGATTGCCTTTGCCTTTGTGGTCGTCCGTATCATGTAAAACGCTTTGTGTGCAAAATGGGAATTTCGAAGAACAACAACAAGAGCAAGCGAACGGCGAGCAAAATAGAGAAATGAAAAGATCTCAACAAGTTTGCCGTTAGTCGAGCTAAGCAGATTAACAGTTTGAGAGCATTTTGCGATTGCTATTTCGCAATGATTTAGCAGGGGGTCAAAGACGAGGGGGCACTAAAACGGTGGGGGAAGGGACGGGGGCTCAAGAGCGGGCAGGGGCCAAAAAGCATAATTGCCCAGTTGCACTCAAATGGATCTCCATTGAAAAGCCCCACTCACCAATTAAGGGTTAAAGAGCAACAGACTCCAGAAGAAGCGACCATAAATCTGTACAGTGATAAATGGATATGGTTTTCAACGGCCAAGATAGTGGTCACCATCAGAAAAAATTTGCGGATTCAAATGTTTTTGAAAAAAAAGGTTAGTAAAACATATATTTATATTTTATAGTTTCAAGTGTGTAAATAGCTCCCCAAACTTGAATATCGCTCCATCCTAAGAAAAAAATATAGTTCTGACAAAGAAACGCTTTCAGGAATGGATTTTCTCTGATCTTAAGACAAACTTCCTGTTACACTTATGCAGAAACTAAGTTTCCTGTGCTTTTTATTAACTTTAGGCGATAGCCACTGTACACAACAATTTTGAGGCAAAGACAAACTATTTGCGGTCTTTATTATAGGCTGGCCACAAAAAGTAAAAGGAGAGAAAAGCGAGGGAAAAGGGAAAGAAGTAGCAGCGACAGAAAACAGACGGCAGCAATGTTAATTGAAGGGGTTTTCATTTTTGGTGTGAGGGTGAAACTTTACTGCAACAGATAAGCTAAAAATGTAACACAAAAAAAAGAAAAACAAATAAAAAATAAAAACAAATTCTGTGGCTTGAACTTCAAAGCACATGGAGCGATTCAGAGTAGGAGGGAAAAGGAGGGGTTAATAAACAAGCCACCAAAAGGTAAATAAATAAGCACAAAATGCCGAAAATAGCGCACAAGGGATAAACCAGATAGAGAGAGAGCGAGTGGGTGAGAGAGAGAGAGAGAGCGAGAAGGAGCAGCTGCTGCGCCGACGCCTGCTGCTCTTCAGCTTCTTCTTTTCCATCTCCCTTCCCCACTCCCATTCACTCATCATCCCATGACTCTCCACAAATTGGAGGCAATTACAATAGCAGCAACAACAAATGCTCTTTGACTTTTTACAGCAGCCTGAGCAAGGAATAACTAAATACGGTAGACACTCGATATAGTGAATCAAATACAATGTACTGGTTGTTAATGAATTATTAAAACAAGGTTATCTAAAAGCAACGAACTTACTCCAATTGGATACTTTATCTATCACTACCGAAAAGACTATAAATAAATGGTTAGTACGGTAGCAGTACAACAAATAAAAAAACTTAAGAATCGGTAAGTACTCCTTATACTCCTACTACATTGCTTTTTGTCTTTCGAGTATTTACTGTACACTTCATCAGCCGCAGAAGCATAAATAGAAATGCAGCGGGAGAGCAAATCTCGCACTCTTTTTTTTTAGTTTTTGTGTTTACTTATTTGCGTTCATTGGCTTCTCTTACTAACGGCACTTCGGGCCAAGGAGGTGCGAATGAAAAGGAGCTATAATCCGGTTTTATATCGCACTTACCTTTTTTAATTAGAATAAATCAAAACTTTGCTGCGGATTCCGATTCTCTTTATATGCTATCAACAGCAAAGCGGACTTTACAGTTACGCCTGCCACTGTAGTTAAAGTTGTTGTATTTAATGCACGGTCTGCGGGCCAAATAAAAACAACAAATACTATATTTTTGCTTTTTACTTTGCTCTGAACTTCGGCGCTAATTGGAAAGAGATGCGGGAAAGAGAGAGGGGAATGAAAACTATAATTAAACGCCAGCAAAAAAGGTCTTAAATATCCTGCGGGCGCAGCAACAACAACAGAGAGAAACAAAGAAGGAAGGCCGAGAGAAAGAAGTTAAGGAGAAGTTAACAAAAAGTAACAGAAAGTTGCGGAGGAGAGGCGTTGGTCTGCGAAGGGGAGAGGGATAAAATACGGCTCTTCCGGGAAAAAGAGAAAAGTGGGAAAGAGAAAAGCTGCGCAGGATATTTTAGCCGCATACGAAAAGTATTAATTTTGTTTTAAATGTTCACTGCAGATTTCATATGTTTTTTCTTGCATTATTGGCCACTCCGCTTTGTCACTTTACTTCGGTTTTAATTTTTCCACTTCTTCATTCGCCAAGTGAGTCTGTGTGTGCGAGTGAGATGGAGCGATGAGCGTGTTTGTGTTTCCACTGCAACTCCATTCTTCTTACTCTTTTTTCACACACACACAAGGCACACACGCACACTCGCACATGGGGGAGTTGGAAACTTACGCGTCGTCGTTTTATTAATTTGTTTCAATTAGCAATCGCCCCTAATTCAGCAACTCCAAAACACTACAAAATCTCGGTGTACTTGAGCACTATTGTTTGTCGATAAGAAGCCGCCGAAAAACGCCGACCGAGGAGGAAAATCACCCGCGCTGGAAAATCGCGTCCGAGTCGTTCAACGGTGTATTTTAGAGTGAGAAGGGAAATCGTGGGAAACTGCGGTGGATTTTAGAGCGAGATGGTTGATGCTCTGAGAGAGAGAGAATGCACTCTCTGGCGATGGGCAAAATTCGATTTCACCACGATTTCTTATCGATTGTTCGGTTCTATCGATATATCTAGGACTGCAACCAATTAGTTCCCCTTTTGGTCGCAATGGCGCTTAAGTAACATTCCTTAAAAATATAATAAATCTTTTATATATTTAACGACAATTTTGAAACCTTAGAGATTATTCGGACGATGCTGACGATACTTTTTAATATTTTCCATGATATCCTAGTTTCAGCTGAAGGCGCTGCAACTAAAACTTGAATCAATCTATGTACTTGGCATCATAAGATTGCATGTGATTTCTAGCGTGAAATATTCAAAATTTTTTGCAAAACTTTTTTAATCATTTTAATTGCTTATATTTTTAAGACACAATTACCACTTTGTATGATAAGAATAATCAAGTTTCATATGTAAATTTATCAAATATATTTATTATAATATAAATTTATATTATTTGTTTGGTATTTTTGCAAATCTGTATGATTGTGTTTAGTATTAAAGGTATATTCTTCCGAACATGGCGGTAAGCCATTTTTAAAAAAGCCCACGGTCACACTGCCCATCAGCAGCGGTTCTCTTTGCGCGTATTTATTTGATCCTTTCCGAATTTGGCTTTACATTGGAATTAAAGTGCCAAAAGTCGGACCGGCGTCAGAGCTACACATCTGCTGAGCCAGCGCGTTCTTCCGATCGAAGAAGCAGCGGTAAACATCGACTTAGAGGAGTTTTAGGAGCGCCGACCGCACCGCAAAATGCAGTCTCACAGCAAAAAGCGCGTTTGCTACTACTACGACAGTAAGTTTTGAGCTCTTTAGTTAAGCAAAAGGCCTACTAGACGAGTAATTTGTGATTACAAAGTACTAGCTATGCTTACCACGCCGACTTTGTGTTTTCCTTGCATCCACTTAGCAGCAGATGATAGCATTTTTGCAAATTTCAAGTTTTACGGCGACTGTACGAGCGCGTTCCGGTTCACAGCGCACTTTTCCCATACGACCGCAGAGCGCTTGCATGCGTGTGCGTGTATGTACCTGATGTCTCTCTTCCTCTTCCATGTGTTTTTGTTGCTTGTTCGTTCGGGGCGAAAGTACGACCGCTGCGGTCGTTCGGGAAAAGTGCTGCTCTCAGGCAGACGCCTCGCCGACCGTGGCCGTAAAATGTGTATTTCGGATAGCGTGGCATACAATTACTTTTCCAAGTTACTCATAATCGTGATTTTTGATCCCCAGGCGACATTGGCAACTACTACTATGGCCAGGGTCATCCCATGAAGCCCCACCGCATACGCATGACCCACAACCTGCTGCTCAACTATGGGCTCTATCGAAAAATGGAAATATACGTGAGTTACTTTCTTAATATAAGATCAAATTACTGATCACGGATTTAAAAAAATCGAAATAGGATTACATACAACTTCCCATGTATACAAATAGATTTAAACACGAATCTTCCTATTCCAGCGTCCCCATAAAGCCACTGCCGATGAGATGACCAAGTTCCACTCGGACGAGTACGTCCGATTCCTGCGATCCATTCGGCCGGACAACATGTCGGAGTACAACAAGCAGATGCAGCGATTCAATGTGGGCGAGGATTGTCCCGTCTTTGATGGACTTTACGAGTTTTGCCAACTTTCCGCCGGGGGATCCGTAGCTGCGGCCGTAAAACTGAATAAGCAAGCCTCGGAGATCTGCATCAATTGGGGCGGTGGCCTGCATCACGCCAAAAAATCGGAGGCCTCCGGCTTCTGCTACGTGAACGATATTGTCCTGGGAATTCTGGAGCTGCTTAAATACCACCAGCGTGTTCTCTACATAGATATCGACGTCCATCACGGCGATGGCGTGGAGGAGGCGTTCTATACCACAGATCGTGTGATGACGGTGAGCTTCCACAAGTACGGAGAGTACTTCCCGGGCACCGGCGATCTGCGAGACATTGGCGCCGGCAAGGGAAAGTATTATGCGGTGAATATACCCCTGCGTGATGGCATGGATGATGATGCGTACGAGAGCATCTTTGTGCCCATTATCAGCAAGGTGATGGAAACATTCCAGCCGGCAGCCGTGGTGCTGCAGTGTGGCGCCGACTCGCTGACTGGCGATCGGTTAGGTTGCTTCAATCTCACTGTCAAGGGTCACGGCAAATGCGTGGAGTTCGTGAAGAAGTATAACCTGCCATTCCTGATGGTCGGCGGTGGTGGTTATACCATACGTAACGTGTCCCGCTGCTGGACCTATGAGACCTCCGTGGCCCTGGCCGTGGAAATAGCCAACGAACTGCCCTACAACGATTACTTCGAGTACTTCGGCCCCGATTTCAAGCTGCACATTAGCCCCAGCAACATGACGAATCAGAATACTTCCGAGTACCTGGAGAAGATCAAGAACCGTCTGTTCGAGAACCTGCGCATGCTGCCTCACGCTCCGGGCGTTCAAATCCAGGCGATTCCCGAGGACGCCATCAACGATGAGTCCGACGACGAGGACAAGGTCGACAAGGACGATCGCCTGCCCCAGAGCGACAAGGACAAGCGCATCGTGCCCGAGAACGAGTACTCCGATTCGGAGGATGAGGGCGAGGGCGGTCGCAGGGATAACCGGACGTACAAGGGACAGCGGAAGCGACCGCGTCTGGACAAGGACACCAACAGCAACAAGGCATCCTCAGAGACGTCCAGCGAGATCAAGGACGAAAAGGAAAAGGGTGAGTGATGAATGATCAGTCTCTTTAAATCAAGTGGTACTTACTAAACCCTTATGCTCTTATCAGGTGATGGCGCTGATGGCGAGGAGTCGACGGCATCCAATACGAATAGCAACAACAACAGTAACAACAAGAGCGATAACGACGCCGGAGCGACAGCTAATGCCGGATCCGGGTCGGGATCGGGTTCCGGTGCCGGGGCCAAGGGCGCCAAGGAGAACAACATTTGACGTGGCGGCCGCAATTGGTTATAGAAGCCAATTAAGCGACCGCCGAAGTACAAGCCGCCGGATTTCACCTAGCGTCGTCCTATCCCCGCGCCCCCCCACCACGCCCCCTAGCCATGTCCAGGGCTTTTTATACCCGCCCCTTAAACAGGTCCCCCTGCGATAGGCTCCTTTTCTAGTGGGGATAATCCCCAGGGGGATAAATCAGTAATCAGTGGGCGGAACCTAAACTCATCGTAGGCTTAAATTCAACTTATTATTAAGTCAATCTGTGCAGATGGAAAGTGTATAAGCTAAGCAAAAAAAGTAAATGCATTCATACAAGCGATCCAATGTGGCGAATCACGCAGAAACTAATTTAATCAAATAAAAATATTTATAAATACCAAGGGCCTTGAGCTTTGATTGAAAATTAATTCAACACTATTCCGTGACCTTTTTAATTATTCTTGAGTAAATGGAACATTTAATTTCAAAGCAAATGAAATAATAATTGAATTTTATATTATTTAAAATACTTACGTTTCCACATTTAGCTATCATCTCTTACCAGTAAACAAAGCAATTATTTGTAACAATTTAATTGTATTTTAAGTAGTTCTAGCTACATGTTTTAAACTTTTTAACTTGGAGTTCCTAGGTTGAGGCGTCTGTGGCATTGGGGAAAGGGATCCACTGGGGGTCTGCCCGCCCACCAGTTGACAGTTTGTGACTAGTCTGCGAGGTTTTCCACGGGGTGGAGTGGGCGGAAACGGAGAGCTGGAAACTGGCTGCGGCGCTAATCCAGCGATAATATCGAGTCGATGCTGGTGCGATTACTGCGCGGCTGCAGCCGCGGTCCACCCAAGTAACTAATTGGATTCGCGAACTGGCGCTGCAGCAGTGAGCTTTCCAGGAAAAGCGTAAGTGGCGGCGGCGGCGGCGGCGGTGGTGGGGGCGTCACTTTCGAGTGATGCTGTCGCCTCGCCACCAATGGGGGTTTTCCACTCGGCGCCTCCGGATTTTTCGCCCGCCTCGCTGGCAGGGCGGAGCCATTGGCATTTGTGGCTACATCAAAGGACTGCTGCTGCTTTGGAGCCTCTGTGTCATCGGGCGCTTTGTGGCGGGATTTGTGTTCCTGTGGCTGCCGCTGCTGCGCTTTCTGGGGGAGATTGGGCATGAAAATGGCATCAGGACGTTGGATGGGATGCAGGATTCGGTGTGGGGTGTCGGCGGGTGGCGGGTGACGGGTAGGAAGTCAGGAATTTAGATCAAATATTTTTCAGGGTTTAATTCTATTTGGCTTTAGTCAAAGTGACGTTCAATGGACATGGACGTTGGTGAGAGGTTCATGTTTGCGTGTGTGCAGAGAAGAGATAAAGTTTTATAATTATTTAAAGGCTTTGAGAGATAGACAGGAGAAGATAGCGAGGGGGAATGACGGTTATTCAAGCTGCATTTTCTACTGGCAAAGGTTTATTTCATTCTTTTTTATCGAGATTTTGGCACCTGTCGTGATTTGGCACTTTATGTTGTTAATAAATGCACTGAACTGACATGAAGGAGTACACATAAAAAATTTAGTGACTACGATTTATGACTCTTTTTATTTCGACTTGGCATAGATACGTTTATGCACAATTAATTAGTTTAAACAAGCAGATGAAAGCTAGTTTAACTTAAGAGCAGAGTTATATAGCACATTTCTGTAGTAAAATTGCTAATCAAGCTGCGTCTTAAAGCCACTAGAACTTTATTATGCAAAACATTAATGTATTTATTTTTCTCCCAGTGCAGGCTGTGTATGTGCACCTCCTGTATTGCATTCTGGATGGCGGACCCCGTCCAAAATCCATTTCGCTGCCCCTTAAGCCCGCCCAAGGCTCCGGCCAACAAAAGGCGCCACGTCAGGAGTCCGGATGGTGTCTTGGTTACACGAAACCCGCCAGTCACTTCACGGGACTTTGTGTGGCAGCCCCACAACTCACGCTCCCGATTCCGCCCCCTATTTCCCCGCAGCAAGGGGCGTGGCATCGTCAGCATCAGTCCAAAATCAACTACAAGAAAGGCGGCCAGCGCGTTTCAGTCAAGTGCAAATGTGTTGGCCAGGCGACAGCGATGCATTTGCTTGCTCCCAATGGGGGAAGTTAGCTGAAAGGTGCAGATAGGCCTGCGAAATATTCTACACAGAAAATAATAAGTAACTTAATATTCAAATATTCAAATACCGCCCAAGCAAACTGCGAAGGTATGTGGACTACTATTTGAATAATAAAAAAAGGTTACAAAGTAATAGTTGTTGTGTGACACTAAGTAGATTACAGAACAGTTCAACTCTGTACCAAGGAGTATAAGGGAAAAAGCATTTAAAATTTGTATTTTTTCCCTGGCATTTGCTGCGCTTTTCATACTTTTCCATTTCGCACTTGCTGGGACGCATTTCAGTTTTATTTTCCAGCAGTTTTATTATTCTTCGCCGAAGGTTACTGGAGGCACTGGCGCAGCGGCAGCGTTGGAAACAATAAGCAAAACTTGCACTTTCATCCTGCACACTGACACTGACATACTTCCTTAGCCCCTAGACCTGCCACGCCCCTTTGGGGGTCCTTTGGCAGGCATATTAACATTGTCGTTCCCCACATTTTTCATTGCATACGCCGCGGCGCGTGCTTTTCGAATATGTGTAATGCAAACATACTTTGCCAAGTCATCACACAAAGGTGGAATATTTCAATTTATGACCTGCACGCGGAAAAATGTGGCGGTTTTGGGAAATATTTTACGAAATATTTGTATTATTAAACACTATTTGGACCATTTTTGAATACTTTAAATGACAACCATGAGAATGAACAAGAATGCTATGGTCGAGTTCCCCGACTATCAGATACCCGTTACCCTTTCTATAACATCAGAAAAATTACAAAAAAATTTAAGAAAAAATAAAATTATAAATTTGAATGCAGATTTTAAGAAAATCGCTCCAGAAACATTTAGAGGTATGCCACTTCAAAATCCGATTAAGATAAGTTAAGTTATGGAGTTTATAACTTCAGCCTTAGGACATTTCTTAATTTTTTGGAATTTCTACAACATCATCACATCAAAAAATCAAAAAAATATTTCCAAAAAAAAAATTTATATTTTTGAATGCAGATTTTTAGAGGATTGCGGCAGAAAAATTTAGAGGTATGCCACTTCAAAATCCGATTAAGATAAGTTGAGTTATGGAGTTTAGAGCTTCAGCCTTGTGGCATTTCTTCATTTTTTTGAATTTCTACATCAAAAAAATTATAAAAAAATTAAAAAAAAAATAAATTTTTAAATTTGAATGCAGATGTTTAGAGAATTGCTTCAGAAACATTTAGAGGTATGCCACTTCAAAATCCGATTAATATAAGTTGAGTTATGGACTTTTTTTAAGTCTCTAGAAGCTGCATGCTTAATCTCAACATTCTAGCTTTTGTAGATCCTGAGATCGAGGCGTTCATACGGACAGACGGACATGGCCAGTTCGACTCGGCTATTCAATAATATATATCAATTATCAATAATATATCAATAATATATATACTTTATATGGTCAGAAACGCTTCCTTCTACCTGTTACAATTTTTTCAACGAATCTAGTATACCCTTTTACCCTACGAGTAACGGGTATAAAAATGTTCAAAATGCATTTCATTACTTATTTGTAGTTATTATTATTAATTTTCTTTGAGCACTAACTGCGTCTATGACGCACATAAATATGTGGACATTTACCCATACACTGTGGAATTTTGGAAGGGTGGCAGTGGAAATATATTTATTACACATGTTGAACAATGTAAGCACAAGTTTTGCCGGTCATTTGGTCGATGGTCAACAAGCAAATGCCTTGTTAACCATTATGGGCCATGTTTTAATGTGGCAACACACAAGCGCCAACAACAAGAACGAAAAACGACAATAACTTTTCGCATTAAATGAATGCCAAGTGGCATTGAGACATTGGGGCAGTGGAAAAGAGATGGAAAGTTCAGGAAAATATAGGGAAAAGCGAAAAGCCGAAACAATGGAAAGAAAAAGTTGCCTTTTTTCAACTTTTCAACGCGGAAATTAATAACAAATTGCTTTAAGCCACCATGACGATTACGTTCAGGCTGTGATTTCAGTGGTGGCATTACGGCTACTTTATAAACCAATTTGAATTTGTAGCTATGTTAATTCGAGTTTTAAATGCACAAATTGGATATTCAGTATTTTGTTTAAAAATGAAATAAAATGTTAAATAGCCATATTTATAGGTTATTTGTTTCTACTGTTAGTTTTTATGTTTATTATTCAGGTTTTTATTATAATTATAAAATTGTTTCTTCTTATTGATGGAGAATGCCATCTCTAATGGGAAAAAAGTAAGCAAACACGAGTATATCCTTGCGTATATCCTGATTTCCCGTGACCAAGCCTTGAGCTCAGCATGGCCGCGAAAAAGTTTTTCCAGCACAATAAACACTTCATTGTGCACTTGAGTTAATTTGTCAAGAAAACCAGGCGCATATGTTGAAATTATTGTAAAAGTTTCGAGTGCCAGCGAAAGATGATGTTGCTCCTGATGGTTTCTCATTAGGCACTGGGAACTGGGAAGCGTATTTTTTCTATTTTCCAAATGTTCTGCTGCTGGACCATGGCAATTGTTGTAGAACATGAATAATGCATGCTTTAGAAGTTTAATGAAAATGCACGAAGCGGAAACGACGCGGATTCGCCACCAATGGAAACAAACAAACTGGTAGACACACAAAAAGTCGCAAAAAAGTTAGCAAAAATAATAATTAGAGCTGGCTGCCAAAAAATAAGAAAATTGGCGCCTTTTTCCATTTTTCTTTTCTGGAGTTAATACTAGTTTACTTGAATTCTACAAAATAAGCAGACTTCATTTTAATTGCATACATATGTAAGGGGAAAAGTTTGAAAGGAAAACTTCGGTATTAATATGCTAAGCGTAAATAAAATAGAAACAGTTGTCAGCTTGTTTTTAAGTATTTTGAAAAATATTTGTACCTTTAAAGATTAAAATTTCAGCCGTCGTCAATTTTTGATAGTTATATGTATAAGGAATGTAAGGATGGTTTTTTAGGTGCAACTATTTGGCAGTATCCATAAAATAAATTTGCGGAAAATGGCGAAAAATGCACAGCTGCGGAGCGGCGCAAACCCTTCGGACTCCTTGGTGTCCTGCTTTGTTTTACGCTTCGCTTTAGATGAGCGCCACTCTCGTCGTCATTGTCCTTCGTCCTTCGTCCTTTGTACCCCATCAACAGCTCCTGCTGGTGCTGCTGCTGTTCAATAAAGTGTAATTCGTGCGCCACTTTCATGTGCATTCATTTGTCGCACCACTCACAGCACTCGCACACACTCACACACTCACACTATCGCACCAACACCACTCCGCTGCACGCACACACACAGACACACACACACAGACACACATTGTGCTCGGCGTACATGGCGTATGAGTGACATTTAATTAAAATTTATGTAGTCTAAAAAGGCAAGAATTTTTCTACACCCCCGTTGGCTGTTCAAATTTATGCAACGCCCCATTTTGTTTGAGTTGTATTAAATGTTCGCAGTTTTGCCAACCGGGTTTTTTGGTAATCATGTGCAAATTTGTTTTTACACCCATTACAAGTGCAGGTCGACGGCGCCACTTTGCTCTCTGACAATTACGACTGGGGAATACGTATACATAATCAAATATTTAAATGGAAAATTGCACTTTTGCCGGGGCAAAGATAAGATGTGCATGTGAGGAACATTTGTCCCCTCACTTGGCTCTTGCAAATGACTGAAGTTTAATTTAAGTTTTAGTTTGAGTGAAGCCCTATCTTTTCGACTGCATCTCAGATATTTTTGATTGTAATGGCTGAGGCCGTTTACTCAAAGTGGAAACGACATATTTACGAATGTAAAGGATGTTCGATGCACTGTTAAAATATTTTACCCATTTATTGGTCTTAATAATAGCTTGTAATATTTATCCATGTAATAATCACTCTCGCTGCTCTTAACTAAATAACATTATTTATCGTTTCACTTCTTTTCCTTGGCCTGCTGCTTTTTCCTGCTTAGCATCAGCTTGTGGATGTGCATACGTCGATAGTAAAGATGTCTTTGCAGACTCTTCTTGAAGAGCGTCTCCCTGGCCAGGATCTCCAGGTCCTCGAAGCTGCACTGCCGTATGTTCTGCTTGGTTTGAGCGATTAGTTCGCTGGTCAGGTGAATTTTGGTGGCTGAAACCCGAGAGACGTGCACTTTTCTCCTCCTCAACTCTTCGCGATGCAAAAACATTGCATATGCGGCGGTGGGCGACTTTGGTGGTGATTCCAACGAGTTCGGCGAAGGATTCACTTTGGAGTTATCCATTACTTCCTTGTTTTGGGGGATGAGACACATCTTGACCGTGTGGTTGCTTGACTGCGTTTGCTGGTTGCATCAGCGTGGCTGGCTTATTTTATATGCAATCTTTTTTCTGACCTGCCCATTCATGAGACCCTTGGCCGCAGGTCAATCGGCTTCCCAGACCAAAACTGACCTGAATGCACCGTTTTTTGCCACTAATTTTTTACAGCCAGCGGGTGGTAGTGGATTAAAAAAATGTAATCCCATTCATTACCTAAAAAGTGTCGTAAAGTTCTCGGGAATAGCGAAAAAATACACCTTCGTGGCACTCATGGTCGCTAATCCGGATATATAACCGGATTAAGTCAAACTAAAATGTTTATGAGTAGAAAGACGGTTCATGGAGTTCTCTCATGCTCTTTCTCGTCCTGGTTTTTGCGGTCTCATCGAATGCTGCTTGCTGTACAGTTTACGTGTTGCTAATCCTTTTGCCGGCATGTCCTGGCAATTAGCGTCATAATGAAGCGGCAGCTGAGATCCACGACCTTTATTTCTGGAAAATTCACAGCGAGCGGGGTTGAATACCAGGCGACCAGGGGCATTTTGAAGAGGAGCTGTATGGCTGGAGGCCAGGCCAAATGACCAGCTGACCCAATTGGTAAACATCCAAACCAAATATTTGACTTTGATCGCCGGCCAGAACCGCAACTTCTTTATTATTCATCAGGCGAACGGTGGAGCGTAATGGGTTTTACTTGGGAATTAATTGGCTTCTTGACATAATATTTATGATATATTTAAGCTGATTTAATTGCAATTTTAAAGTGCTCGAAGCTTAAAATTTAAGATTTAAGAATTCTAAGCCATTATCGAAGAAGAACGAGATATTCTAATATTTTAAATTTATAGTCTTGGATACCTTTGAATGAGTAGTATCCGCCCACATCTGCAATCTGATTCGGATAATTGCATCCGATTTATTCCACTGTGCCTCCGCAATGTTGCTTTTTCATAAATTTCAGCTTCGAGCAAAAGGGGCGGCATAAACTCATTACATTGACTGGCTTGCTGCTGATGCTGTTGCCACTTTTGATGGGGCAGCTACTGCTTCCATCCCATTTTCCACCCAAAATATTTGGAGCTCATTTCGAAAAAAAGGGTTTTCTGGCCACCCCAGACCCAGACTCGTTTCTATGTGCGAAAATCACAACATTTTAATCTCATAATCTCAATTTATGTGCAGACTCAATTTCGTTATACTTAACGACATTTTATGCGGTTATTTTATGCAGTCAGGAGCCGAAACTGAAGGAGCCCCAGTCTGGCTATATAAGCTCCCCTTTTCCACACAAACGCCCTTTGCGGTTCCGCACTGAGAAAAATAAAGGTAAGCAGTTTTGAAGAGTTGTAAACAAGCATAGTTAAAGTACTAGTTTAAATTAGCCAAATAAGAAAACATTACTAGAATTTGTTATGTTTTTGTAGTACACCCTTTTCAAGTGACACCCGATTTTCTCACAGTGCACACTTCAAGTAGATCATATTAGGGAGTCGATGCATGTGTGTCTGAGCGTCTATGAGCACTTGAGATTTTCTATGGTCGCACAAAACACATTAGTTAAAAGTACTGGCCAACAAAGCCACTAACAAGCTGTTGGTAGTCGTCCCCCTGAAATCTGCACTTCTCCCCCTGTGATACCCAGTATTTGCCCCTGTTTCCACTTTCCCCCGGTTTTTCCTGCCACATATTGAAGTGCCATTACGTGAGCTTCACTTTTTCCCATCTTTTCCGACTCCATGGCTCCTTGTTGTTGTATCAATCTCGACGAAGCCCTCCTTTTTGTTGTCGTTGTCAGCATTTTTGCTGTGCGAAAGTTTTTTAATAACGCATTTAAATGAATTGATGTATGGGCGAGTTATTCTGCGTAATTTCTTATCATTTAGTATGAAAGAAGTTAAAGTTGTGTTCTCATTTCCTGGCCGTAGAACTTTTATTACATTCGTATATCACACAGTACAGAATGGAATTTACAAAAACCAAAACTAAAAGTTGTGCACTTCTTAAAACCTAACGGATGCAACTTTGCGTTGCAGCAAAGGGAATTTTTTAGCTTAACTCTAAAAGGTATCAATTTACATGTAAGTTTATGAGTTTGAAGAGATTATTGCTAAGTGTGCGCTTTATTTTAACTACACAAAATTACGTCAAATAAACATCTTAACAATTATAAAAAAATTCCAAATTTTGTGTTTTTGGTGTTATCTGCTTGGAACTCTTAGATGGAATGCAGCATATTTTTTCACTAGTGCTGTGTTTAAGTCAAAGTCTTAAATTCCTTGCCAGCTTTGAATGAAAATGTTGCAGCGTTTGATGTAAAAAGTGCTTGCCATTCTGAATTTTTTGAGGAATATTCAAGTCGATGGGCAGACAGCTTTCTTTATACACAGCAATCCAAGGACTTGCCTCTTTTCAATTTATATTATTTGCTTTTCCTTTGTCTCTGTCGCACTTTTGACTCGCTTTTATTTATACAAATTGCTTTTGTTTCGCTGGCTCTTTCTCTGGCTGCCTTTGAGCTGTTGTTGGTTTTGGCCCTGTTTTGTTTTCTTGCCATCAATTCGCCTAAATATTTATGCTTTTATACATATTTTCAGCAGCCATTTGCTTTTTTTTTTTTGCATTCGTCTCGTTGGTTTTTTGCGACAGTTACCCAGCTTCAATTCCTGGTGGTGGTGGCCCGTCTATTGACGCCATGGTATCCATTTTGCTTACCGCCCGCCTTGCGACTGCCATTGCTGTTGCTGTTGCTGCTGGCGCTGCTGTTGGCCAAATCCACATCCGTTTCGGCCACGATTGGCGGCCCCCAAGAAACTTGTCGCCGCACTGTTGCCGGCCCAACTACAGTGGCTCCTCCGGCTGCACCACTTCCTCCTGGCTTTCTCCGCTTGGAACTCGACTGCTGCTGAGGTCCAACTCCTTTTTGAGACAGTTGTCGTTGCGGCGGCAGCTGCTTTTGCATTTCGTGTTGCTGCTGTCAAAGTGCACAAATGTTTCGTATCGCTTTTTATTAAAAACTTTCTCGACTCGCATCTGCGTTGGGTATTTTATTTTATTTTTGTTTTAATATTTCGCATGCAGCTCTTGGCTTAAAAGATACATTCCTCTTAAATGTTTAGTTTTGTTCATTCCATGCTGGGTTTTATTTGACTTCCTTTTGTTAATTAACATGCGCACGAAATTCGTAAAGCTCACTTGTTAGTTATGCGATATTTGCATATTTGATGCTAGAGCAATCAATTGAAATTCACTATTTTCCCATTTCCATTTGCAGCGAAAGGAAGGAAAAAATATTACCTGAATTATGGACTCATTCAAGAGTGAAATTTGAGTCGCAGCCCGCAAAGCCAAGCTGATTGTATTTTACCTCTATTGTTCGTTTTTAAAGTCATTGTTTAGTGCTTGAAAAGCAGAGTGAAAGCATTCAAGGCTAAAGAATATGCTTCATACTGAGTCAATGCAATTTTAATTGCAGCGAAATTACACTTCAAATCCCATTTCTCTGCTTAAAAACGATTTATGAGCGCCATAAATCAGTAAAAATATTTATGCTGCTTTTAAATTAATTGCCTCAGATTTATTTGTTTATTAAATTGTGGTCTGTGTTTTAATTTACACATCAATGGCTTAGTTTGTCTTCTTGCCTTCATCAAGATTTATAGGAAACTTGAGCAAACGAGACAAAATCTGTCTGTATGAAGGCCCCACCATGTGGGTGTTGTATGGGGCATGTTGCACACTTTGTTGCTTTACTTTTGCTGCCGCTGCATTTTGTGGGGGCTTGGGGCTCGTTTTTGCATTCTAAGCTCGTAATGAGTTTCACCGCAGCATTGTGGTAGCTGGCAAAGTTAAGTGCGTGCTGCGTTTGCGGCATGCCGAAATGAACAGCGAGCGGAGCAGAGGTTGGGAAAGCTGGAAAATCTGGAAAAGCGTACAAGAAAAGCGGGGCAGCAGCAGCGGCAGCAGCGCAAGATGAAAGAAAAGCGCAAAGACGCCCACAAACATTTTTGAATAAAAAGAAACTTGGCATGCATGACAGGAGCAACCTCAGTGGAATCAGCTCGAGGAGCATGAGCCACATGCCACATCCACATCCACCAGCTGAGGCACTTGCACTTTCTGGGGCTGCTTAAACAAAAGATGCTGTTTAAGCTTCGATCTTCACTACAGTGAACTCTATTCAACGCACTCCGACTTTAATATTCGCACAATTAAAATTGATGAATATTACATGACATTTTGACATTCATATTTCTGGTTCCATTGCCGATTAAAAGTTAATTACGTTCATTACCATGTGAAATTGTAAAATTGTATTGCCAAAAATGACCTAAATTATTCAATTAAATTTTTCTAATTGCCTGTGAATAAATTTTGAAGCCACAGCTCACACGATGTTCACAGCAAAAGTTATTGGCAAAAAGAACGCCTATCAAAGAATATATTTGGAAAGGCACGAAGTAAAAGGCGTAATTAATCAAATGAACTTTTGATGTCAAAGTTATTATTGCATGAAGCCCCTTTCAAGATAAGAAACGCCCTACCGATAACCCACTGTATTAACCCCATCGAGGAGCAGAAAGCCAGCACTCACTCCTTTTGGGAAGCGAAACTTTTTGATTTTGAGGCAGGAAAAAAGTTTTGAGTGCGCTTCAATTTCGGTTGCTTTGCAATCAGGCTCGCGTAGACGCCGCAAGTCAAGTGGAAATGTGGAAAGTGGAAAGCGGCACGGAAACGGCGGGAAAATGTGGGCCACCATGGGTGGCAGACAATCCCGCACGCACTTTGCGCTTTGCACAACTTTCACCATTTTTCGGGTGTCACCAAAAGAGCGCCATGGGAAAATAAAGAAGGAAAATCGTTGGAAAATTCATAGCCCGATTTGAATGTGCAGCGATTGTTTCCGGGAAAGTGCCGGGAAAAATTCAATTTGGCTGTGGCTTAAGCTCAGACAAAGTATACGCTAAGTAAGCTCAAAAGTAACATGCAGCCCCTCGATAGACACTTTTTCAGCTAAAACTACATGAAAGCCAATAAGTTCAATATTTTG